CAGGAGAGGTGCTGGGGTGGAGCTGTGGGGCTGGTGACCAGGAGAGGTGATGGGGTGGAGCTGGGGGGCTGGTGACCGTGGCATAACCTGCGTGGGGCAGAGCAGGGCTCTCCCTGCAGCAGGGTGAGGGGAAGATGGGCTTTGGTCCCAGAGCTGGAGAGCAGGATGCCTCAGTCCCCTCCAGGTCAGCCCGAGGGTCGAGGAGTGTGGGATCCCCCTTGGGTGGCTCACCACCCCGAGGCTGAGGGGTCTGCAGGCTGGTGGGCCTGGGTGGTGGGTTTGCCTGTGGGCTGCTCAGGAGTTAGTTACACAGTATTAAGTTTGGAAAGCCAGGGGGAAGAGAGGGGCCCTGGGGTTAGGGTGCCCTGGGTGCAGACGTGGCCCTGAGCCCAGCCCCTGCTTCAGGAACAGTTTCCTTTTTCCTAGTGGTGTTTAAATGCAAACTATCAGGAGTGCCTGAGAGGTGTGTGGGCAGTCCTGTGGTGGGTGGGCACCCACAGCACGGGGTCAGGGCTGCTCTCTGCCCCTGCTCTGCTCCCTGCCCTCAGGGCCACCTCTCCCAAAGCCCCCTCCAACAGCAGCAGAGGCACTGGGCATCCTCCCTGGGGTGGCTCTGTGCCCAGGGAGCTCTTGTTCTCATTCCTGGGTGTGGAAGGGGCTCATGCCCCATGATCTCCCCAGCCCTGGGGGGAAGAGAGCAGATTTGGATGAAGATAGCCAATGGCGCCTGGCAGAGCACGGACACATCACTGCATCTCTGTGCAGACAGTTCGTGTTACAAAAGACAAAGATGCTTTTTGCCAGCACTTGGAGGTAGTGGGGGACAGCAACCTGACCCTCAGGGGCCCAGGGCAGCTCTCCCAGGCCGGGCGCCGAGAGCTGGAGGTGGCTGCTGGAGTGTGAGCTCCTCCTGGGGCATGCTCTGCCTCCCAGGCACGAGTAGGCAAGTCCTGCTGCTGGCTCACTGCTTCAGTCCCCGTTTCTCTCCTGTGGCACGGGAGATATGATGACATTGTCCTGGAAAGGAGAGCGAGCAGGAGGCACAGTGAGTGTGGGCTGTGTCAAGTGTGAGACAAGAACTCCTCCCGGGCTGCAGAGAGGGGAACCCACAGGCCGGGCCACTGTGACCCCAGCAGAGACAACAACCCCCCAGCCTGCCTGAGGGCTTCTCATCCTCTTCTGGGGTCAGTCCTAGGGCCGGTGGCTCTGCTCTGGACTATGTGCCACCAAACCCATCAAAGGAAGCTGCAGCTTAAGCTGCCTCTCAAGGCTTTGAGTTGCTGGCTTGTAAAGCATGAGCCCTGTTTGCACAGCCTGCTCCCTGCAGGGCTCTGGGGAGCAGGATCGCAGCCTCAGCTCTTTCTGGAGCAGCTGCCTGATGGCAGCAGCAGCATTTCTAGGTCAGTCCCACAACTCAGGGTCACTTGTTTGCCAGCAACCAGATAAGAGGCAGAGCCCTTTGCACCCCCCTGACATGCTGGCCGAGTGTGAGCTCAGGGGGAGCCTGCTGGGATTTGCTGAGCTTTTAGGAAGACTCTGTTTTAGCGAGGTTGGGGGCAAGCCCTTTGCCCCGTCCTTACGTCTCGGAAGGTGATGTTGTCGAAGCCCTGGGCAGCGTTGCCCTCTGGCAGTGCCCCACTCGCCACCCCTCGCCGCCTCAGCCAGTACCAGCTGACTGCAGCCGCCCGGCAC